CCGTCCCTGTCAAGGACAGCCTGTCCAGGGCCAGTGGCGCTGCTGGGGACAGGCCGGTCACCAGGAGTGCCACCATTCCCAGCAGGGACAGCCCAGCTGGTGGCAGTGCCACTGTCCCTGTCAAGGCCAGTCCATGCAGGGGCAGTGCCACCACTGGGGACAGGCCAGTCAGTGGTGCCACTGTCCCTGTCAGGGACAGGCCTGTCCCTGGCAGTGCCACCGTCCCTAGGAGGGACAGCTCACCCAGGGCCAGTGCCACTGTCCCCAGGCAGGACAGCCCCTCCAGGGCCAGTGCCACTGGGGACAGGCCGGTTACTAGAAGTGCCACTGTCCCCGCAGCTGGTGGCACTGCCACCGTCCCTGTCAAGGAAGGTCCATCCAGGGGCAGTGCCACCACTGGGGACAGGCCAGGCACGGGCAGTGCCACCACTGGGGACAGGCTGGCTGGTGGCAGTGGCACTGTCCCTGTCAAGGACAGCTCAGCCAGGGGCAGTGGCACCACTGGGGACAGGCCGGTCACCAGGAGTGCCACTGTCCCTGTCAGGGACAGCCCAGCTGGTGGCAGTGGCACCACACCAGCCAAGGACAATCGGGCCAGGGGCAGTGCCACCCCTGGGGACAGCTCATCCCGGGGCAGTGCCACCATCCCTGTCAGGGACGGCTCACCCAGGGCCAGTGCCACCGCAGGGGACAGGCCGGTCACCAGGAGTGCCACTGTCCCTGTCAGGGACAGCCCAGCCGGTGGCAGTGCCACTGTCCCTGTCAAGGCCAGTCCATCCCAGGGCAGTGCCACCACTGGGGACAGGCCAGTCAGCGGTGCCACTGTCCCTGTCAGGGAGAAGCCTGTCACCAGCAGTGCCACCGTCCCTGTCAAGGACAGCTCACCCAGGGCCAGTGGCAGTGTTGGGGACAGGCCGGTCACCAGGAGTGCCACCATTCCCAGCAGGGACAGCCCAGCTGGTGGCAGTGCCACCGTCCCTGTCAGGGACAGCTCATCCAGGGCCAGCGCCACCACTGGGGACAGGCCAGCGAGGAGCAGTGCCACCACTGGGGACAGGCCAGCGAGGAGCAGTGCCACCACTGGGGACAGGTCAGTCAGTGGCAGTGCCACCATCCCCGTTAGGGACAAGCCAGTCCGTGGCAGTGCCATTGTCCCTAGGAGGGACAGCTCACCAAGGGGCAGTGGCACTGGGGACAAACCGGTGAGTGGCAGTGCCACCGTCCCTGTCAGGGACAGCTCCTCCAGGAGCAGTGCCACCACTGGGGACAGGCTGGGCAGGGGCAGTGGCAGTGTCCCCATCAGGGACAGGTCACCCAGAGACAGTGGCAGTGGGGACAGGCCAGGCAGGGGCAGTGCCACCATCCCCATCAGGGACAGGTCACCCAGAGACAGTGGCAGTGGGGACAGGCCAGGCAGGGGCAGTGCCAGCAGTGGGGACAGGCCAGGCAGGAGCAGTGCCACCATCCCTGTCAGGGACAGGCCAGGCAGGGCCAGTGGCAGTGTCCCTGTCAGGGACAGGTCACCCAGAGACAGTGCCACCACTGGGGACAGGCCAGTCCCTGGCAGTGCCACCACCGGGGACAGGCCGGGCAGGGGCAGTGCCACCGTCCCTGTCGAGGACAGGCCGGGCAGGGGCAGTGGCACCATCAGGGACAGGCTGGTCAGGGGCAGTGCCACTGTCCCCATCAGGGACAGCTCAGACAGTGGCAGTGCCACTGTCCCTGTCAAGGACAGGTCAGCCAGAGCCAGTGGCACCACAGGGGACACGTCAGTCAGGAGCAGTGCCACTGTCCCCATCAGGGACAGCGCAGCCAGGGGCAGTGCCACCACTGGGGACAGGCCGGGCAGGGGCAGTGCCACCATCCCTGTTAAGGACAGCTCATCCAGGACCAGTGACATTGGGGACCGGCCAGTTAGTGGCAGGGCCATCATCCCTGTCAGGGACAGCGCAGCCAGGGCCAGTGCCACCACTGGGGACAGGCTGGGCAGGGGCACTGCCACCACTGGGGACAGATCAGTCAGGGGCAGTGCCACCATCCCTGTCCGGGACAGCTCACCAAGGGCCACTGCTGTTGGGGACAGGCCAGTGAGGAGCAGTGCCACCGCTGGGGACAGGCTGGGCAGTGGCAGTGCCACCGCTGGGGACAGGCCAGTGAGGAGCAGTGCCACCACTGGGGACAGGCTGGGCAGTGGCAGTGCCACCGCTGGGGACAGGCTGGGCAGTGGCAGTGCCACCGCTGGGGACAGGCCACTGAGGAGCAGTGCCACCACTGGGGACAGGCCAGTGAGGAGCAGTGCCACCATCCCTATCAGGGACAGGTCACCCAGAGACAGTGGCAGTGGGGACAGGCCAGGCAGGGGCAGTGCCACCGTCCCTATCAGGGACAGGTCACCCAGAGACAATGGCAGTGGGGACAGGCCGGGCAGGGGCAGTGTCCCCATCAGGGACAGGTCACTCAGGGCCAGTGGCAGCGGGGTCAGGCTGGTCAGGGACAGTGCCACCATGCCCATGAGGGACAGTGCCACAGTTCCCATGAGGGACAGGGCCCCCAGGGCCCCTGACCCTGGGGACAGGCCAGGCAGGAGCAGTGCCACTGTCCCTGCCAGGGACAGCCCAGCTGCGGGCAGTGGCACGCTCAGGGACGTGCCAGTCTCTGGCGGTGGCACTGTCCCCATCAGGGACAGCCCGTCCAGGGGCACTGCCACTGTCCCCATCAGGGACAGGCCGGTCACTGGCACTGCCACTGTCCCTGTTGGGGACAGGCCGGTCACTGGCTCTGCCACTGTCCCCATTGAGGACAGGCCGGTCACTGCCACTGTCCCCACTGAGGGCAGGCCGGTCACTGCCAGTGGCACCGCTGGGGACAGGCTGGTCACTGACAGTGGCACCCCTCCTGGCAGGGACTGTCCCTCCAGGGACAGTGGCACTCCTGGGGACAGGCCGGTCCCTGGCAGTGCCACTGTCCCCGTCAGGGACAGCCTATCCAGGGGAACTGCCACCATCGTGGACACGCCCGTCACCGGCAGTGCCACCATCCCTGCGGGTGACAGCCCCTTCTGGGCCCGGGGCACCGCTGGGGACAGCGCCGGGGGTGGCAGTGCCACCTTCCCCGTCAGGGACTGCCCGTCGCGGGGCACTGCCACCATTGTGGACGCGCTGGTGACCCTGAGTGGCACCGTGATGGACAGGAGGATCCTGGGCAGTGTCACCGTCCCCGTCAGGGCCAGCCTGTCCCGGGGCACTGCCACCATCGTGGACACGCCCGTCTTTGTCAGTGCCACCGTCCTCGTTGGGGACTCCATCCCCAGGGTCACGGCCACCATCGTGGAGTCCAGGGTGCCCGGCCATGCCATCCTCCCCCTCGGGGACACGCTGGCCTGTGGCAGTGCCACCATCCCTGTCAGGGAGTGCCCGTCCAGGGACGGTGCCGCTGTCCCCATCAGAGAGTGCCCATCCAGGGACAGTGCCACCGTCCCTGACAGGGACAGGCCAGGCAGGGACAGTGCCACTGTCCCCATCAGGGAGTGCCCGTCCAGGGAGAGTGCCACCATCCCTGTCAGGGAGTGCCCGTCCAGGGACAGTGCCGCTGTCCCCATCAGAGAGTGCCCATCCAGGGACAGTGCCACCGTCCCTGACAGGGACAGGCCAGGCAGGGACAGTGCCACTGTCCCCATCAGGGAGTGCCCGTCCAGGGAGAGTGCCACCATCCCTGTCAGGGAGTGCCCGTCTGGGGACAGTGCCACCATCCCTGAGGGGGACAGGCCAGAGAGGGACGGTGCCACTGTCCCCATCAGAGAGTGCCCATCCAGGGGCAGTGCCACCTTTGGGGACAGCAGGCATGTCACTGATGGGGGCAGTCCCCCCATCATGGACACACCGGTCAGTGGCAGTGCCACCATCCCTGTCAGGGACTGCCCGTCCAGGGGCAGTGCCTCCCCTGGGGACAGGCCTGGCAGTGGCAGTGCCACCCCTGGGGACAGGCCTGGCAGTGCCACCCCTGGGGACAGGCCTGTCCCTCCCGTCCGCGTCAGTGTCATCAGGGATGGCAGGACGGGCACCAGGGTGGCACCGGCGGCCCTGGCACAGCGCGGTCACAGCCGGGCCGGGTCTCCCCTCGGGGACACGCAGGGACACACGAGGGCGGGCACAGGGATGGGGTCCCCTGCGTCACACCAGTAAAAACCAGTAAAAACCAGTAAAAACCAATCACTGCCGTGTGGCTGTGTGCCTGTGAGCCCGGGCACCGGAGGGGGCACTGGGAGGGGACACTGGGAGTGGGGAGGGGACACGGGGAATGGAGAGGGGACATTGGGAACGGGGAGGGGACACGGGGAATGGGAAGGGGACACTGGCAGTGGGGAGGGGACACGGGGAGTGGGAAGGGGACATTGGCAGTGGGGAGGGGACACGGGGAGTGGGAAAGGGACATTGGGAGCGGGGAGGGGACATTGGCAGTGGGGAGGGGACACTGGGAGTGGGGAGGGGACATTGGCAGTGGGGAGGGGACACGGGGAGTGGGAAGGGGACATTGGGAGCGGGGAGGGGACACTGGGAGTGCGGAGGGGACATTGGGAGCGGGGACACGGCGCAGAGGAAGAGGATAAGGAGGGGACAACCCGCCCCACCCCCCCGGATGGTGACAGCGACATCCGAGGCGATTTTGCCAAGAAATCGCAGATTTTGGTTAACGCGGAACCCGCGGGGCGCCTTGGGCTTGTTCCGTGCCGAGACCACGCCCCCAAACACCATGAAGCCACGCCCCTTTAAGCATATATGTACAGAAACCGCGCTCACTTCCGCACGCGACGTATAGGCCACGCCCCCGTCTCTGTAAGCCACGCCTCTATACCCCGGCCCACTGCCCATATTAGTGGTTAAACCACGCCCACACGCTCATATAAATGCATAACCACGCCCCCGGCGCCATGCCCCGCCCCTTCCCCCGCGCCTCCGGCCCGCCAGGGGGCGCTGTGGCCGCTCAGCCCCGTGAGGCGGCGCCGGGCCGGGCCTGGCGAGGCTGCACCGGCCCCGCTCCGCCGGCCCCGCTTCCCGGCCCCGCTCCGGCCTCTCCACCGGCCCTCCCGGCCCCTCCGCGCCTCTCCGCGCCGCCCCGCTCCTCCCCGCTCCGCCGAGGTGAGCCCGGCCCCGCCGCGCCCCCCCGCGGCCTCCTCCGCCCCCTCAGCCCGGTCCCCCCGGCGGTTCCGCGGCCGCGTCCGGCCTCGCCTCCTCCTCCTCCTCCTCCTCCTCCTCCTCCTCCTCCTCCTCCTCCTGCTGCTGCTGCTGCTGCTGCTGCTCGGCGGCTCCGTGGCGCAGGAGCGGGGCAGGATTTGGCCTTTTCCCGGCCGAGGCTCGGTGCTGATCCCGGCTGTTTTTCCGCCTCTCTCTCCCCGCAGCAGCAGCCGCCGGTGCCCGGGATGAGCCGCCCGCGCCGGCCGCAGGGCCGCGCTCGCCGAGCGGAGCCTCGCGGGATGGGATCGCTCCAGGTACCTCTCCCGAAGCCTTTCCCAGCCCCTTTTCCTGGGAATCGCTGCCGGAGCCCCGCTCCCCGCGGGGGAAGTGGCGCAATTCCCCTTCCAGAGCCTTTTCCAGCAGCTTTTCCTCAGGGGGATTTGCCAACCCGGCCCCCCCGCCTCCCTCCCGGGGCCATCTGGTGGCTTTGGAATTGCCCGAAATCCCCTCCAAAATTCCATGGATTGCGTAAAATTTGGATTGGCGGGGGTCACTCGTGCCCTCGGGAATGTTGTCCCTGGAAAACTTCGGCTGGAGTTGGTGGGAAGTTGAATAATGAGAAATAATTACCTTTAATCCCTCCCTTTTTATTCCTTCCGCATCCCTGGAATCCGGGAGGGAATAACTGGGTGGAAAAGGGGATTTTCCAGCTTTTTTTTTTCCCCGGTGCTGGAAGAGTTGTTGAGGTTTTGGAGCCGTTCCTGGTGTGGATCCCGTGGATCTGCTGAGAACAGCCCCTGATTTCTCCCTTGGAATCCCGAGTGGGATTTCAGGACTGTGCTCCTGGAATTCCTGGGTGATCCCGGCTCCAGATTTCCTGGATGCTTTATGGTCCCGCAGTTCAGGGTCCATGCTGGGATCAGCCCAGGCGGAGCCGCCCTTGGGATCCAGGTGGGGATGTGGATTCCTGCTTTTTTTAAAATTTTTTCCTGCTTTTTTTTCCCCCCTGCCTTTTCCCAGTTTATTTCCCAACCTTAGAGGGAAAAAACAAAAACTTGGAAAAACCTCAAAAAGTGGGGGTTTGTGTACGGAATGCGATCCATGGGAGGAGGGAGCTCCAGGCCTGTGGGATTGCTCCGGGCTCTGGAATCCTGTGGCGTTCCTGGGAAGAGGGAAAAGCTTTGGATGTGGTTTTTTTTTGGGATGAGCAGAGCGCTTCGGGAAGGGAGGGGGTCCCTGGAATTTTTGGGTTGGAGCCACGTAAGGATTTGGGAGTGGGATAGAGGAGGAAAATCTGGGATTTGTGGGAAAACAGGGATGGGAATTGTGGGGCAGTGTGGAATCCCAAATTTCCACCCCCATCTTTTTTTTTGGGATTCGTCGAGAAATGGGAGCATCGGGGATTTTTTTCAGGCTCTGATGGGGTTTTTGGGATCTAAGAGCCACAGAAATGTCAGGAATGTGGGATTTGGAGTGCTGGGCATGGGGGAACAGAGCCAAACTCTCAGACTTTGGTCAGGATTTGGGCATCTGGGATTTCTTGGAGAAGAAGTGGCAAAAAAAGAGGAAAAGAAGAGGAAAAAAAAAAAAAGAAGCGGTATCTGGGAGGTGACCTAGGTTTGAATCACTTGGAATATTTAGGGAAAATTCCTGAGGGCTTTTTCCCTCCTTTCTTTGGGAGTTGGAAAAATAAAGGGATAAAGCAAATCCTTAAAGTAATGAGGAAAAATCTGAGATTAACAGAGAAAAATCCTTGATTTAACAGGGAAAAAATTAACGTCCATCTTCCCTTCAGGTGCATCCTGGGTTTGTCCCCTTGAATCCCACCCCTAACCCCAGTTTTTTCCCTTTTTTCCCCATCACTGAGTCCTGCAGCTCCTCCACTGCTCCTCCTGTTGAATCCCACCCCAAATCCCACCCCAGATCCCATTTTCCCCCCGTTTAACCCCATTTTCTCCCTGTGTTTCCCCTGCTCTGTTCCCCCTGTTGAATCCCACCCTGGATCCCATTTTCCCCCCGTTTAACCCCATTTTCTCCCCGTTTTTCCCTGCTCTGTTCCCCCTGTTGAATCCCACCCCAGATCCCATTTTCCCCCAGTTTAACCCCATTTTCTCCCCATTTTTCCCCATCACTGAGTCCTGCAGGCCCTCCACTGCTCCTGCTCTTGAATCCCACCCCAGGTCCCACTTTCCCCCGGTTTAACCCCATTTTCTCCCCGTGTTTCCCCAGCTCTGAGCCGCGCAGCCCCTGCTCTGTTCCTCCTGTTGAATCCCACCCCAGATCCCATTTTCCCCCGGTTTAACCCCATTTTCTCCCTGTTTTTCCCCAGCTCTGAGTCCTGCAGCCCCTGCTCTGTTCCCCCTGTTGAATCCCTCCCCGGATCCCATTTTCCCCCGGTTTAACCCCATTTTCTCCCCGTTTTTCCCCAGCTCTGCTCCTGCTCTTGAATCCCACTCCAGATCCCATTTTCCCCCGGTTTAACCCCATTTTTTCCCCGTTTTTCCCTGCTCTGTTCCCGCTGTTGAATCCCACCCCAGGTCCCATTTTCCCCCGGTTTAACCCCATTTTCTCCCCGTGTTTCCCCAGCTCTGAGCAGCCGCGCAGCCCCTGCTCTGTTCCCCCTGTTGAATCCCACCCCGGATCCCATTCTCCCCCCGGTTTAACCCCATTTTCCCCCGGTTTAACCCCATTTTCTCCCGGTTTTTCCCCAGCTCTGAGCAGCCGCGCAGCCCCTGCTCTGTTCCCCCTGTTGAATCCCACCCCAGATCCCATTTTCCCCCGGTTTAACCCCATTTTCTCCCCGTTTTTCCCCAGCTCTGAGCCGCGCAGCCCCTGCTCTGTTCCCCCTGTTGAATCCCTCCCCGGATCCCATTTTCCCCCCGTTTAACCCCATTTTCTCCCGGTTTTTCCCCAGCTCTGAGCCGCGCAGCCCCTGCTCTGTTCCCCCTGTTGAATCCCACCCCAGATCCCATTTTCCCCCCGTTTAACCCCATTTTCTCCCCGTTTTTCCCCAGCTCTGAGCAGCTGCGCAGCCCCTGCTCCACCATGGGCGACTCGGCGGCCGGGAGGAGCCCCCCGGAGCCGGGCGGTTCCTCCCTGGGCGTCATCACGGAGGGCGTGGGCGAGCTGGCCCTCATCGACGCCGAGGTGGCCCAGCGGGCGTGCGAGGAGGTGCTGCAGAAGGTGCAGCGGCTGCACGGCTCCCAGCCCGTGCCCAACGGGCAGAGCTGCCCCGTGCGCTGCCTGGACGAGGCGCCGCGCATCCAGGAGGAGGAGGAGGAGGGCTCGGCCGCGGCCCGGACGGCGCGGAAGCGCCACCAGCACCAGGCCAAGCAGTCGTGGCTGCTGCGCCTCTTCGAGTCCAAGCTCTTCGACATCTCCATGGCCATCTCCTACCTGTACAACTCCAAGGAGCCCGGCGTGCAGGCCTACATCGGCAACCGCCTCTTCTGCTTCCGCCACGAGGAGGTGGACTTCTACCTGCCCCAGCTGCTCAACATGTACATCCACATGGACGAGGACGTGGGCGACGCCATCAAGCCCTACATCGTGCACCGCTGCCGCCAGAGCATCGACTTCTCGCTGCAGTGCGCGCTGCTGCTGGGCGCCTACTCCTCGGACATGCACATCTCCACGCAGCGCCACTCGCGCGGCACCAAGCTCCGCAGGCTCATCCTCTCCGACGAGCTGAAGCCGGCGGGCAGGAGGAGGGAGCCGGGCGCCGCCCTGCCCGGCGCCGACACCGGGCTCTCCCCCTCCAAACGGACTCACCAGAGGTCCAAGTCGGACGCCACGGTGTCCATCAGCCTCAGCAGCAACCTGAAGCGCACGGCCAGCAACCCCAAGGTGGAGAGCGAGGAGGAGGTGAGGCCTGGGGGGTTCCTGAGGGAGTTCTGAGGGGTTGGGATGGAGCTCCAAGGCTCAGCCAGCCATCCCAAGGTGGAGAGCGAGGAGGAGGTGAGGCCTGGGGGGTTCCTGAGGGAGTTCTGAGGGGTTGGGACTGAGCTCCAAGGCTCAGCCAGCAACCCCAAGGTGGAGAGCGAGGAGGAGGTGAGGCCTGGGGTGCTCCTGAGGGAATTCTGAGGGGTTGGGACTGAGCTGCAAGGCGCAGCCAGCAGCCCCAAGGTGGAGAGCGAGGAGGAGGTGAGGGTTAGGGTGTTCCTGAGGGAATTCTGAGGGGCTGGGATGGAGCTCCAAGGCGCAGCCTGCCATCCCAAGGTGGAGAGCGAGGAATAAGAGGTAAAGTGTGGGATGTTCCTGAGGGAATCCTGTGGGAAAGGCTGGTGTGGGGCTGGGATTGAGCTCCAAGGCTCAGCCTGCCATCCCAAGGTGGAGAGCGAGGAGGAGGTGAGGCCTGGGGTGCTCCTGAGGGAATTCTGAGGGGCTGGGATGGAGCTCCAAGGCTCAGCCTGCCATCCCAAGGTGGAGAGTGAGGAGGAGGAGGAGGTGAGGCCTGGGCTGTTCCTGAGGGAGTTCCGTGGGACTGAGCCCCAAGGATTGGTGTGCTGGGGAAATCCCGTGGTTGTTGCTTGGGATTGATCCCAGAGCTGATCCAGGGATCAGCCTTGGGAAGTGCCTTGGGATTCATCCCAGAGCTCCTTTAGGGTCGTGGTTGTGCTCCAAGGCTCAGCCAGGAACCCCAGGGTGGAGAGCGAGGAGGAGGTGAGGTCTGGGCTGTTCCTGAGGGAATTCTGTGGGACTGAGCCCCAAGGATTGGTGTGCTGGGAAAATCCCGTGGCTGCTCCTTGGGATTCACCCCACGGCTCCTCTGGGACCGGGGCTGAGCTCCAGGGCTGATCCCAGGATGAGCTGGGAATTCCAGGTGGGAAAGGAGCCCCCGAGCCGCTGCTGGCAGCAGATTTTGGGAACGGCGCTTCCCAAATCCAGGAAAAACGAATCCCCCAGAGGGTGGAATGCACCCCAGAGGAACTGGGAGTGACTGGGAGTGACTGGGAATTCCCAGAAATCCCTGGGAAACGGATCAGAAATCCAAGGTTTGATTCCGCCGGGAATTCCGCTGGGAGCCCTTGGAAGCAGCCAAGGATTTTTCCAAGCTCTGGGAATTGGGATGAGGATGGAAGGAAGGATTGGGAAGGAATTTTCCAGGCCGGATTCGGGATCAAAACACCCCGGAAAAATCCGGGGCCGTTCCCACCGGGATGAATTTTTAATATGGAAAAGGAGGAGGCCGGAAACTGGAGCCTCTCCATAAATTATGGATGAGGAAACTCCTGGAAACGACCCTGAAAAAGCTGGGAAAGCACAAACCCAGGGGGGCTCCAGCCCTGGATCCCAACTGTCCCTCAGAAATCCCGGAGTCATTGGAAGCACTGGGGGCTCTTCCCTCTGGAATCCAGGAATTCCTTGGGAAAATTGATGGGAAATGATCCCAGAATTCATCAGGGAAGGGAAAATTGATGGAAAATCTTCCCAAATTTTCCCTCCCCCGGTGAACTTTGGGGTCATTTCCCATCAGTTTTCCCTCCAGGTGGGATCCAGACCTGGTTGTCCCCTTTTTTTGGGAATTTTTGGGAATTTTAGTCCCAGAATTCCTGGTTTTTATGGGATGAAGCTCCCTTGGATCCCTTTTAGGAAGAAAATCGTGAATTGAGGGACTCCAAGCGCTGGAATTTCAGGATTTTTGGGATGGGAATCGCTTGGGATGGAGCATGGAGGGAGATCTGGGAATGGCAGGAAAACTTGGGATAAATCAGGAATTTTTCCATGGTAAAAAAGGGCCTCAAAAATTGGGATTTTGGGAACTTTCGGGATCGTTTCCATGGGATTCGTTTGATGTGCTGAAATTCGGGATAAACTGGAATCCAGGGAAGGAAAAAAAAAAAGTGGATTTGGTGGTGGAAAAGGTCAGAAATCCAAGGAATTCGGAGCTGGATCCATCCTGGTCCTTCTGGGCCGGGGTGAGGAATCCCGGAGAGGAGGAAAACCGGGAAAATCCCGGGAATTCAGCGCTCGGATCCGCTCCGCTTGGATCCCGTCCCCCTCGAGATCCGCAGAGTTTCCCTTCCCGGAACCTTCCCGGTAATTCCAGGAGGATGGGGCCAAACAAACTTGGGAATTGCTGGAAGTGCACCTGGAGCTAAACTTTGCTTTTTCTCCCCCCTTTTCCCCTGCTCCTTCCCCTCTTCCCCCCACGGAAAACATTCCCCCCAAAAAAACTGCCCCGAACCCCCCTTTTCCCGCTTTTCCCAGGAATTCTCCTCGAGTACGGAAAGCCTGGATAAATCCCTGGCTCCCGTAAGTTCCGATCCCGCTTTCCGGAGGCTCCCCCTTCCCACCACGGCATTTCCTCAAGTCCACCCCTCTGGAATTTCCCTGCATTCCCCCAGATATTCCCAAAAAAAAAAAAAAAAAAAAAAACCCCAAAAAAAATTCCCGGCACCGTTTCCTCGGATTGGGAATTCCGGGAAAATCCCTTCCGGTTGGATAAAATCCGGGAAAGTCCCATTTTTCCACCAAAAGGCATCCGGGAATGAGGGAATTCCCGCTTTTCCTGCTTTTCTGTTGCAGGTGGAGGAGGAAATGCTGTTTCTGTTTTCCCTTGGAATTCGGCTCCCAAAATTCTCGGCCGGATGGGATTGATTTGCTTTTTTTTCCATGGTTTTTTCCCCCACCAATCATTCCTTGATTCCATTCTCTCAATTCCTTCTTTTTTTCCCCATGAAAATTCCAATCGAATCCTGGCGTTTTCCCTGATTTTTCTCTCCCGAATGAACCCTTCTCCTGGTTTTTTTTGGAATCTTTCCCTCTTTTCCCGCCAGGATTCCCGGTGGGAATGTGCAGTCCATGATTTCCTCCAGCAATGGGAGTTTGGGAAGAATTCCATGATTTTTTTTTTTGGGGGGGGGGGGCTTTTCTGGGAATTCCTGGGTTCCAGCCCAGCTCTGATCTCGCTGGGAATTCCCAGGGATCGTTCCCGCGCCTGGATTTGGGAATTCTGTCGGGATTTGATCCCAGATTTTGGGCTCATCCTAAATCCCGCTGGTTTTAGGGATGGCGGGATGCTCGGGATGAGCTCCAGGCCCCAAATTCCCGCCCAAAATTCCAGGAAATCCTTTATTTCCACCCATTCCTGCTCCTCCCAGCCCGGCCAGTGGCTCCTCTCCAGGGTTTTCTTGGGAATCCACGGAAAACAGGGATAATTCCTCCTTCCCTATGGAATGTTCTGCCGGAGCGTGGGATCCTGGTGTGGGGAGGATCCTTGGGAATGCGGGGATGAGGAATGGGACGAAGAGGAAAATTCCCTCTGGAATTTCCCTTTGGAATGGGAAGAAGAGGCGAATTCCCCTCTGGAATGGGATGAAGAAGAGGAAGATTCCCTCTGGAATTCCCCTTTGGAATGGGATGGAGGAAAATTCCCCTGGAACGGGATGGGATGAAGAGGAAAATTCCCTTTGGAAAAGAATGGGATGAAGGGGAAAATTCTCCCTTGGAATGGGATGAAGAGGAGTTTTCCCTCTGGAATGGGATGGAATTTCCCAGCCCCTGGGGCTGGAAGATCCAGGATCTCCAGAGGCTCCGAACGGATCCCGGCGCCGCTGGAATGCTCCTGAGGCGGGGAGAGGATCCTTGGGAAGCGTTTTGGGATCCCTGGATGGATCCCGGATTCCCAGTGGGTTCCTCGGGGGAATTCCCTGGAATTCCGAGGGGACAGCGCCCCTGGAAAAGCCGGGCTGGGAGGAGCAGGAATATCGGAGCCGCCGGGATTCCGCGGGAGCGGCCGGGAAGCAGCCGTGGTTGGGGGATCCCGGGATTGCAGGGATGGGATTCAGAGCTGAGGGAATTGTGGGGATCCGGCCGGGATCGGGAGCCTCTGGAATGTTTCTGGAGCCAGCTGGGGGCAGGGAAGCCGAGCGCTGTCCCGGAATTCCCGAGGGAATTTTTGGACGTGGACTACGAACCCCGCAGGTTCCAGCCGGGAATGCCCCATCCCATCCTCCAATCCCTGATTTTCCCCATCCCCGCCTCTTGCCCTGCGATATTCCCGATTTCTCCGGCGTTTTCCGTTGCTGCCCCGTTCCCGATCCGTGGCTTTCTGCATGCGCCGTTCCCAGCATGGTCGGAGCGCTCGGGGATCCCAAAAATCAGCCCTCGGTTATTCCCGAGGGTGGGAATGCGGAGTGGGAATTTGGGATCAGTGTGGGGAGGGAGGGAGGGAGGGGGCGGCTGCATCCCGGGAGAAATCCCAAATCCCTGGGGGGTTCTTGGATTGGGACAGCAGGGAGGATCCTCCTGAATCCCAGGAATCCGGATGATCCCCAAATCCTGGGAATCTGGATGATCCCAAATCCCGGGAATCCGGATAATCCCAAATCCCAGGAATCCGGATAATCCCAAATCCCAGGAATCTGAATGATCCCAAACCCAGGGAATCCGGATGATCCCAAATCCTGGGACTCTGGATCCTCCCAAATCCCGGGAATCTGGATCCTCCCAAATCCCGGGAATCCAATGGGACTGGGAGATCCCGCAGGGAACGTTGGCTCTGGAATTCCGGGGGGAAGGAAAAGGCCCCGGGATCCTGCTCTGCCGGGGGATGGATGGGACTCCCAGGTTTCCAGGATCTGGGAAGAGGGAAGAGAAGGGAAAAGGGAAGAGCAGGAATTTGGTCCCAGTGAAGCATCACCTCCATTTTCCTCCTTTTTTCCCAGAGTTTTTATTTTTATCCAGATCCTTTTCCAGGCAGCCTTGCTGGCTCCGGAGCGGGAAAGGGGAAGGGCAGGGAAGAGCAGGGATAGGGAAGGGCAGGGAAGAGGGAAAAGCAGGAAAAGGATCCCACTGGAAAACCACCACCAGCCATCACCTCCATTTCCCTCCTGTTTTCCCAACTTTTGAGTTTTCATCCCGATCCTTCCCAAGCCTTTCCCAGCCAGTCTGGGATGGGAAAAGCAGGGAGAAGCAGGGAGAATCAGGGGGTGGAAGGATCCCGGAGGAGGGGACGGGATGGGATGGGATGGGATGGGATGGGATGGGACGGGATGGGATGGGATGGGATGGGATGGGATGGGATGGGATGGGATGGGATGGGATGAAAGCGTTTCCCTGTGGAGAAGATGACGCTGCCTCCGTTTCCCCCCCGTTTCCCCCCGTTTCTCCCCGTTTTCCCCCCATTTTCCCCCCCCTTTTCCCCCCTTTTTCCCCCCCTTTTCCCCCCATTTCCCCCCATTTCCCCCCATTTTCCCCCTGTTTTCCCCCCCATTTTCCCCCCCCATTTCCCCCCCGTTTCCCCCCGTTTTCCCCCCATTTTCCCCCCATTTTTCCCCATTTTTCCCCCTTTTCCCCCCCTTTTTTCCCTGTTTCCCCCTGTTTTCCCCCCCTTTTCCCCCCATTTCCCCCCCGTTTTCCCCCCGTTTCCCCCCCCGTTTTTCCCCCCATTTTTCCCCCCCTTTCCCCCCCATTTTCCCCCCCATTTCTCCCCCGTTTCCCCCCCGTTTTCCCCCCATTTTCCCCCCATTTTTCCCCGTTTTTCCCCCTTTTCCCCCCCTTTTTTCCCTGTTTTCCCCTGTTTTTCCCCCCCCATTTCCCCCCCGTTTTCCCCCCCTTTCCCCCCCATTTCCCCCCCATTTCCCCCCCATTTTCCCCCCCCATTTCCCCCCGTTTTTCCCCCATTTTCCCCCCGTTTTTCCCCGTTTTCCCCCCCATTTTTCCCCCGTTTTCCCCCCGTTTTCCCGGCTGGGCAGCCGGCCCGGCTGGCTCCGGAGCGGGAGTTCATCAAGTCTCTGATGGCCATCGGGAAGCGCCTGGCCACGCTGCCCACCAAGGAGCAGAAGACGCAGCGCCTGATCTCGGAGCTGTCCCTGCTCAACCACAAACTGCCCGCGCGCGCCTGGCTGCCCACGGCCGCCTTCGAGCACCACGTGGTGCGCGTGCCGCACTCCCAGGCCGTGGTGCTCAACTCCAAGGACAAGGTCTGGGAAAAGGGGATGGGAAAATGGGGGATTGGGGATGGGAAAACCTGGGATTGGGGATGCTGGGAGCCGCCTTCGAGCACCACGTGGTGCGCATGCCGCACTCGCAGGCCGTGGTGCTCAACTCCAAGGACAAGGTCTGGGAAAAAGGGGGGGTTTGGGATGGGAAAATGGGGATTGGGGATGGGAAAACCTGGGATTGGGGATGGGATTGGGAATGGGATTGGGAATGGGACTGGGGATGGGATTGGGGATGGTGGGAGCCGCCTTCGAGCACCACGTGGTGCGCGTGCCCCACTCGCAGGCCGTGGTGCTCAACTCCAAGGACAAGGTCTGGGACAAAGGGGGGTTTGGGATGGGAAAACCTGGGATTGGGGATGGGATTGGGGATGGGATTGGGGATGGGATTGGGGATGGGATTGGGGATGGGATTGGGGATGGTGGGAGCTGCCTTCGAGCACCACGTGGTGCGCGTGCCCCACTCGCAGGCCGTGGTGCTCAACTCCAAGGACAAGGTCTGGGACACAGGGGGTTTGGGATGGGAAAACTTGGGACTGGGGATGCAAAGTGGGATTTGGGATGCAAAGTGGGATTTGGGATGAGAGATGGTATTTGGGATGGGAAAATTCAGGATTTGGGATGGGAAAATTCAGGATTTGGGATGGGACTGAGCATTTGGGATGGGAGATGGGATTTGGGATGGGAAAATTCGGGATTTGGGATAGGAAATGGGATTTGGGATGGGAAATGGGATTTGGGATGGGACTGAGCATTTGGGATGGGAGATGTGATTTGGGATGGGAGATGGGATTTGGGATGCAGAGCGGGATTTGGGATGCAGAGCAGGATTTGGGATGCAGAGGGGGATTTGGGATGCAGAGCGGATTTGGGATGCAGAGGGGTATTTGGGATGGGAGATGGGATTTGGGATGCAGAGGGGGATTTGGGATGCAGAGCAGGATTTGGGATGCAGAGGGGGATTTGGGATGCAGAGCAGGATTTGGGATGGGAGATGGGATTTGGGATGCAGAGGGGGATTTGGGATGCAGAGCGGGATTTGGGATGGGATGTGGGATTTGGGATGCAGAGCGGGATTTGGGATGCAGAGCAGGATTTGGGATGCAGAGGGGGATTTGGGATGCAGAGCGGGATTTGGGATGGGATGTGGGATTTGGGATGCAGAGCGGGATTTGGGATGGGATGTGGGATTTGGGATGCAGAGTGGGATTTGGGATGGGAAAATTTGGGATTTGGGATGCAGAGTGGGATTTGGGATGCAGAGCGGGATTTGGGATGCAGAGGGGGATTTGGGATGGGAAAATTCGGGATTTGGGATGCAGAGCGGGATTTGGGATGCAGAAGGGGATTTGGGATGCAGAAGGGGATTTGGGATGCAGAGTGGGATTTGGGATGGGAGATGGGATTTGGGATGCAGAGCGGGATTTGGGATGCAGAGCGGGATTTGGGATGCAGAGCGGGATTTGGGATGGGATATGGGATTTGGGATGCAGAGCAGGATTTGGGATGCAGAGGGGGATTTGGGATGGGAGGTGGGATTTGGGATGCAGAGGGGGATTTGGGATGCAGAGCGGGATTTGGGATGCAGAGCGGGATTTGGGATGCAGAGCGGGATTTGGGATGCAGAGCAGGATTTGGGATGGGATATGTGATTTGGGATGGGATATGTGATTTGGGATGCAGAGCGGGATTTGGGATGCAGAGCGGGATTTGGGATGGGATATGTGATTTGGTATGCAGAGCGGATTTGGGATGCAGAGCGGGATTTGGGATGCAGAGCGGGATTTGGGATGCAGAGGGGGATTTGGGATGCAGAGCGGGATTTGGGATGGGAAAATTCGGGATTTGGGATGCAGAGCAGGATTTGGGATGCAGAGGGGGATTTGGGATGCAGAGCAGGATTTGGGATGCAGAGCGGGATTTGGGACGCCATGGCAGTGCTGGGGATGGCGGGGCAGCTGGAGCTGTCACTCCAGGCCCGGGGGTGCTGGCACAGGCGGTGGAACCGGGCCCAAAGCCCGAGGAGCTCCGGGTTCCCTCTGTGGGATCCGCGCCCTTTTCCTCCCTCCCCATGGCAGCCCCGGGGTGCCCCTGACGGCCCCGCTGCCCCGCCCAGGCTCCCTACCTGATCTACGTGGAGGTCCTGGAGTGCGACAACTTCGACACGGCCAGCGTCCCCGCGCGCATCCCCGAGAACCGCATCCGCAGCACGCGCTCGGCCGAGAACCTGCCCGAGTGCGGCATGGGCCCCGAGCACCGCGCCGGCAGCTTCAGCACCGTCCCCAACTACGACAACGACGACGAGGCCTGGTCCGTGGACGACATCGGCGAGCTCCAGGTGGAGGTGGGAGCGCCGCCTTCCCGAAGGTTCCGGGCGCCGGGAGCGTGGGAATGGGGGTTTTCCGGAAGGTTCCGGGCACCGGGAGCGTGGGAATGCTGGGAATGGGGTTTTCCGGAAGGTTCCGGGCACCAACGGGGTGGGAATGCTGGGAATGGGGTTTTCCGGAAGGTTCCGGGCACTGGAAGCGTGGGAATGCTGGGAATGGGGTTTTCCGGAAGGTTCCGGGCACCAATGGGGTGGGAATGCTGGCAATGGGGTTTTCCGGAAGGTTCCGGGTGTCCCCGAGGGGTCCCTGGGGGTTCCGTGTCTGGGGATTGTCATTCTGGGCCCCCCCCTCACTAAAAAATGGGGTTTCATGGGTTTTTATGGGGTTTTGTGGGATACTGTGGGATTTCATGGGATTTTAGTTGGATTCGATAAGATTTTAATGGCGTTTCGTGGCGTTTTATGGGATTTTATGGGACTTTATGGCATTTTGTGGGATTCTTTGGGGTTTTTATTTATTTATTTTATTTATTTATTTTATTTATTTTATTTATTTTATTTATGGGATTCAATGGGATTTTAAGGGATTTGATGGGGTCTCAGTGGGATTTGATGGGGTCTCAGTGGGATTTGATGGGGTCTCAGTGGGATTTGCTGGGGTTTCATGGAATTCTGTGGGGTTTTCCCGGGATTCCCGCAGCTCCCGGAGATGCACACCAACAGCTGTGACAACATCTCCCAGTTTTCCGTGGATTCCATCACCAGCCAGGAGAGCCGGGAGCCCGTGTTCATCGCCGCCGGGGACATCCGGTGAGCTCCGGAAAACCGGGAATTCTCCCGCCAAAAATCCCGGAATTCCGACAGTGCCCAGAATTGCAGAAATCCGGGAATTTTCCCTCATAAAAAACCCCGGACTTCAGGCATTCCCCAGAGCAAACATCCAGGAGATTTCCCTCATAAAAATCCTGGAATTCTGACATTCCCTAAAGCAAAAATGCAGGAATTTTCCCTCATAAAAATCCCTGAATTCTGACATTCCCTAGAGCAAAAATCAAGGCATTTTCCCTCATAAAAATCCCGGAATTCTAACATCCCCAAAGCAAAAACCCTGGAATTCTGACATTGCCCAGAGCCAAGCTCCGGGCATTTTCCCTGATAAAACCCTGGAATTCCAACATTCCCCAGAGCAAAAATCCGGGCATTTTCTGTGGTGAAACCCCGGAGTTCTGGCATTGCCCAGAGCCAAACTCCAGGAATTTTCCCTGATAAAACCCTGGAATTCTGGCATTCCCCGGAGCCAAACTCCAGGCATTTTCCCTGATGGAACCCCGGAGCTGGGGCCTTTTCCCTGATGAAACCCTGGAATTATGGCATTGCCCAGAGCGCGGCTCCGGGTGTTCTCCCTGATAAAACCCTGGAATTCTGGCATTCCCTGGAGCCAGACTCCGGGCGTTTTCCCTGATAAAACCCCAGAATTCCGGCATTGCCCGGAGCCAGACTCCAGGCGTTTTCCCTGATAAAACCCCGGAATTCCAGCATTCCCCGGAGCCAGACTCCGGGTGTTTTCCGGGATGAAACCCTGGAATTCCGGCATTCCCCGGAGCCAAACTCCAGGAATTTTCCCTGATGGAACCCCAGAGTCCCGGCATTCCCCGGAGCCAAACTCCAGGCGTTTTCCGGGATGGAGCCCTGGAATTCCGGCATTCCCCGGAGCCAAACTCCAGGCGTTTTCCCTGATAAAACCCCGGAGTCCCGGCATTCCCCGGAGCCAGACTCGGGCGTTTTCCGGGATGGATCCCCGGCTCTGGGCCCTTTCCCTGATAAAACCCTGGAATTCCGGCATTCCCCGGAGCCAGACTCGGGCGTTTTCCGGGATGGATCCCCGGAATTCCGGCATTCCCCGGAGCTCTGTCCTTTTCCCTGATAAAACCCCGGAGTTCCGGCATTCCCCAGAGCCAAACTCCAGGCCTTTTCCCTGATAAAACCCCGGAGTTCCGGCATTCCCTGGAGCCAAACTCCAGGCATTTTCCGGGATGGATCCCTGGAATTCCGGCATTGCCTGGAGCCAAACTCCAGGCATTTTCCGGGATGGATCCCCGGCTCCGGGCCCTTTCCCTGACCCGGTGTGCGCGGTCCCGCAGGCGCCGTCTGTCGGAGCAGCTCGCGCACACGCCCACCGCCTTCCGCAGGGACCCCGAGGACCCCTCGGCCGTGGCCCTCAAGGAGCCCTGGCAGGAGAAAGTCAGGTGGGCAATTCCGGCAATTCCGGGAGTTTTGGGAATTCCGGGAATTCCGGGGAAAAGCGCGCCCGGAGCCCCCGCCCTGGCCCCGGGAGTTTAGGGCGGCTCCAGAGGGGTTTGGCTCCTTCCGGGGTGAACCCCCTGGAATTCCAGGCCTGGAATTCCTCCCGGGAAAAGCCCCCGGGGCTGAGGGGGCGTCATCCGTGTCCTGATGGGATGGTGATGGGATTTTTATGGGATTTGGTATTTTTTAATGGGATTTTAATAGAGTTTCATCGACTCTTACGAGATTTTAATGGCATTTTATGGGATTTTAATGGATCTGGTAGTTTTAATGGTATTTTGATGGGATTTTAGTGGAGTTTTGTGGGGTTTTATGATATTTTGATGGCATTTTATGTGATTTTAACAGGATTTGATAGTTTTGATGGGACTTTGGTGGGATTTAATGGAATTTTATTATTTTAATGGGATATGATGGATTTAATGTGACTTTGATGGCATTATAATGGAATTTCCTGGCATTTTATGATTTTAATGGCGTTTCATGGGATTTTGATGGGATTTTGATGGGATTTTAATGGGATTTCATAGACTTTGATGGGATTTTAATGGGATGTGATAGTTTTAATGTGACTTTGATGGGATTTTAATGGAATTCCATGGACTTTTATGGGATGTTACTGGGATTGGATGGCATGAGGGCAATTCCTGGGAATTCCCAGAGCTCCTCCCGGCCGGGGGCTGCCGGGCTGATCCCATCGTTTTTCCCATTGTTTTTCCCATTGTTTTTCCCATTGTTTTTCCCATTGTTTTTCCTGTTTTTCCCATCGTTTTTCCCATTGTTTTTCCCATTGTTTTTCCCATTGTTTTTCCCATTGTTTTTCCCGTCGTTTCTCCCGTCGTTTTTCCCATTGTTTTTCCCATTGTTTTTCCTGTTTTTCCCATCATTTTTCCCATCGTTTTCCCCATTGTTTTTCCTGTTTTTCCCATCGTTTTTCCCATTGTTTTTCCCATCGTTTTTCCCATCGTTTTTCCCGTTGTTTTTCCCATTGTTTTTCCTGTTTTTTCCATCATTTTTCCCATCATTTTTCCCATCGTTTTTCCCGTTGTTTTTCCCATTGTTTTTCCTGTTTTTCCCATTGTTTTTCCCGTTGTTTTTCCCATTGTTTTTCCTGTTTTTCCCATCATTTTTCCCATCGTTTTTCCCCATCGTTTTTTCCCGTTGTTTTTCCCATCATTTTTCCCATTGTTTTTCCCGTTGTTTTTCCTGTTTTTCCCATCGTTTTTCCCATCGTTTTTCCCGTTGTTTTTCCCGTTGTTTTTCCCGTTTTTCCCATCATTTTTCCCCTCATTTTTCCCGTTGTTTCCCCCAGGAGGATCCGGGAGGCCTCTCCCTACGGCCACCTCCCCTCCTGGCGCCTCCTCTCCGTCATCGTCAAGTGCGGCGACGACCTCAGGCAGGAGCTGCTGGCGTTCCAGGTGCTCAAACAGCTCCAGGTGAGGCAATTCCCGGGAATTCCCAACAATTCCCAACCCGTGAGGGGTTCCCGGAAAAATAAAATGGAGTTTTAGGGGGTTTTTGTGGAGTTCTCACAGCGTTCCAGGTGCTCAAACAGCTCCAGGTGAGGCAATCCCGGGAAATTCCCAAAAATCCCAACCCGTGAGGGGTTCCCGGAAAAATAAAATGGAGTTTTAGGGGTTTTTGTGGAGTTCTCACAGCGTTCCAGGTGCTCAAACAGCTCCAGGTGAGGCAATCCCGGGAAATTCCCAAAAATCCCAACCTGTGAGAGGTTCCTGAACAAAAATCCTGGAGTTTTAGGGGGTTTTTGTGGAGTTCTCACAGCGTTCCAGGTGCTCAAACAGCTCCAGGTAAGGCAATTCCCGGGAATTCCCAAAAATCCCGACCTGTGAGGGGTTCCTGAACAAAATAAAATGGAGTTTTAGGGGTTTTTGTGGAGTTCTCACGGGATTCCAGGTGCTCAAACAGCTCCAGGTGAGGTAATCCCGGGAAATTCCCAAAAATCCCGACCTGTGAGGGGTTCCCGGAAAAATAAAATGGAGTTTTAGGGGGTTTTTGTGGAGCTCTCACAGCGTTCCAGGTGCTCAAACAGCTCCAGGTGAGGGAATCCCAGGGAATTCCCAAAAATTCCATAAGGGATTCCTGGTTTTCATGGGGTTTTAATGGCGTTTTATGGAATTTTAATGGGGGTTTAATGGCATTTCCTGGGATTTTAGTGGGATGGTTTTTTAATATTTTGGGACTTCAGTGGGAATTTTTTTGGTTTTATGGATTTTGTGGGATTTTAATGGGATTTAAAAAAAAGTTGATGGCATTTTAATGGCATTTCAATCAGTCTTGATGGGATCTTAACAGGATTTCTTTAATTTCACATCATTTAACCCCATTCCAGTCAGATTTGATGGGATTTTCATGGGATCTTTTAAAATTTCACATCATTTTAACCCCATTCCAGTCAGATTTTATGGGATTTTCGTGGGATTTATCCCATTTCCCATTCCAGTCAGGTTTTGTGGGATTTTATGGGAATTTTCACGGGATCTGTCCCCGTTCCCTCCCCGCAGTGGATCTGGGAGCAGGAGCGGGTCCAGTCGGATTCTATGGGATTTTATTGGGATTTTATTGGGATTTTATTGGGATTTTCACTGGATTTCCCTCCCCGCAGTGGATCTGGGAGCAGGAGCAGGTCCAGTCGGATTCTATAGGATTTTATCGGGATTTTATTGTGATTTTATCGGGATTTTTTGTGATTTTCACTGTATTTCTCCCCGCAGTGGATCTGGGAGCAGGAGCAGGTCCAGTCGGATTCTATAGGATTTTATTGGGATTTTGTGGGATTTTTTGGGATTTTCACAGGATTTTATTGGTATTTTATTGGGATTTTCACTGTGTTTCCCTCCCCGCAGTGGATCTGGGAGCAGGAGCGGGTCCAGTCAGATTCTATAGGATTTTATCAGGATTTTATTGGGATTTTATCAGGATTTTATTGGTATTTTTTGTGATTTTCACTGTGTTTCCCCCCGCAGTGGATCTGGGAGCAGGAGCGGGTCCAGTCAGATTCTATAGGATTTTATTGTGATTTTATCAGGATTTTTTCAGGATTTTTTGTGATTTTTCACTGTGTTTCCCCCCACAGTGGATCTGGGAGCAGGAGCAGGTCCAGTCAGATTCTATAGGATTTTATCGGGATTTTATCAGGATTTTATCGGTATTTTTTGTGATTTTCACTGTGTTTCCCTCCCCGCAGTGGATCTGGGAGCAGGAGCGGGTCCAGTCAGATTCTATAGGATTTTATTGGGATTTTATTGTGATTTTATCGGTATTTTTTGTGATTTTTCACTGTGTTTCCCCCCGCAGTGGATCTGGGAGCAGGAGCAGGTCCAGTCGGATTCTATAGGATTTTATCGGGATTTTATTGGGATTTTTTGGGGATTTTTTGGGATTTTTCACTGTGTTTCCCCCCGCAGTGGATCTGGGAGCAGGAGCGGGTCCCGCTCTGGATCCGGCCCTACAAGATCCTGGTGATCTCGGCCGACAGCGGGATGATCGAGCCCGTGCTCAGCGCCGTGTCCCTGCACCAGATCAAGAAGCAGTCGCAGCTGTCGCTGCTGCAGTACCTGCGGCAGGAGCACGGCCCCAGCAACAGCGAGAGCTTCCTCACGGCCCAGAGGAACTTTGTGAGGAGCTGTGCCGGGTACAGCCTGGTCTGCTACCTGCTGCAGGTCAAAGATAGGTAATGAACTCATTAATAATGGTTAATTAATGGGTAATGAACGGGCACAGCCTGGCCTGCACGGCCCAGCAACAGCGAGAGCTTCCTGACGGCCCAGAGGAACTTTGTGAGGAGCTGTGCAGGGTACAGCCTGGTCTGCTACCTGCTGCAGGTCAAGGACAGGTAATTAATGATTTAATTAATGGGTAATTAATGGGTAATGAACGGGCACAGCCTGGCCTGCACGGCCCCAGCAACAGCGAGAGCTTCCTCACGGCCCAGAGGAACTTTGTGAGGAGCTGTGCCGGGTACAGCCTGGTCTGCTACCTGCTGCAGGTCAAGGACAGGTAATTAATGAATTAATAATGGTTAATTAATGAATTAATATGGGTACAGCCTGGTGAGTACAGCCCCAGCAACAGCGAGAGCTTCCTCACGGCCCAGAGGAACTTTGTGAGGAGCTGTGCAGGGTACAGCCTGGTCTGCTACCTGCTGCAGGTCAAAGATAGGTAATTAATGAATTAATTAATGGGTAATTAATGAATTAATGGGTACAGCCTGGCCTGCACGGCCCCAGCAACAGCGAGAGCTTCCTGACGGCCCAGAGGAACTTTGTGAGGAGCTGTGCAGGGCACAGCCTGGTCTGCTACCTGCTGCAGGTCAAAGATAGGTAATTAATGAATTAATAAATGAATTAATGGGTACAGCCTGGTCTGCTACCTGCTGCAGGTCAAGGACAGGTAATTAATGAATTAATTAATGAATTAATAAATGAATTAATGGGCACAGCCTGGTGTGCTACCTGCTGCAGGTCAAAGGTAGGTAATCAACTTATTAATTAATTGATTTCCTCATTAATGATGGGGTACAGCCTGGTGTGCTCCCTGCTGCAGGTCAAGGACAGGTAATTAATGAATTAATTAATGGTTAATAAATGAATTAATGGGTACAGCCTGGTGTGCTCCCTGCTCCAGGTCAAGGACAGGTAATTAACTCATTAATTAATGAATTAGCTCATTAATGATCGGGCACAGCCTGGTCAGGGCAGGTCACTCATGGATTAATTAATGAATTAATTAATGAATTAGCTCATTAATGATCGGTCAGGGCAGGTCATTCATGGATTGATTCCCCTGCAGGCCCAATGGGAGCAGCCTGCTGGCCCCGAGGGCATTTATGGCATTTTGGTGATTTTCCCACAATTTGCTGTGACGTTTATTGGGTTTCTCCTTAAATCTCGGTGGGATCTCCCGGGATGCCCCGGGATCCTGACGGAATTCCCGGGAATGCCCGCAGGCACAACGGGAACATCCTGCTGGACGCCGAGGGCCACATCATCCACATCGACTTCGGGTTCATCCTGAGCAGCTCCCCCCGCAACCTCGGCTTCGAGACCTCGGCCTTCAAACTCACCTCCGAGTTCGTGGATGTGAGTGGGGATCCAGGGAATGCCAGGGGATCTGGGGGGATCCAGGGGATCCAGGGAACCCCCCCATCCCTTCAAACTCACCTCCGAGTTCGTGGATGTGAGTGGGGATCTGGGGGGATCCAGGGGGATCCGGGGGGATCCAGGGGATCCAGGGAACCCCCCCATCCCTTCAAACTCACCTCCGAGTTCGTGGATGTGAGTGGGGATCCAGGGAATGCCAGGGGGATCCAGGGGGATCCAGGGGGATCCAGGGGGATCCGGGGGATCCAGGGAACCCCCCCATCCCTTCAAGCTCACCTCGGAATTCGTGGATGTGAGTGGGGATCCGGGGAATGCCAGGGGGATCCGGGGGATCCAGGGAATTCAGGGAATTCAGGGTGATCTGGGGGTTCCAGGGAATCCGGGGGGGTTCCAGGGAATCCGGGGGGATCCAGGGAATCCGGGGGGGTTCCAGGGAATCCGGGGGGGTTCCAGGGAATTCAGGGGGATCCAGGGAATCCGGGGGGATCCAGGGAATCCGGGGGTTCCAGGGCATTCCCGTGTAATCCCGGAGCCGTTCCCCATTCCCGTGTGGCGCAGGTGATGGGCGGCCTGGACGGGGACATGTTCAACTACTACAAGATGCTGATGCTGCAGGGGCTGATCGCCGCCCGCAAGCACATGGACAAGGTGGTGCAGATCGTGGAGATCATGCAGCAAGGTGGGGATCCAGGATTCCCGTCCCGAGCGGCTGCTCCCGGGGCGTTCCCTGCTCCAGCCCCTCTGCCATCCCAATTTCCATTGTCTGGGATCCCGAATCCCATCCCGGATTTCCATTGCCCGGGATCCCAAATCCCCTCTTCCCATCCCCAATTTCCATTGCCCGGGATCCCGAATCCCTTCTCCCCTCTCCCATCCCGGATTTCCCCTTTCCTGATCCCATTGCCCCCGTTCCAGACCCAGACTCCCAACATCCCCATCCCAATTTTTCCCATTTTTCCAGTCTCTCAGCTCCCAGATTCCCAGTTCTTCCCGTTTTTCCTGGCTCCCAGCTGCCCTGTTCCCCATTTTTCCTGATTTTCCATTCTCCCAGCTGCCATTCTTCCCGATTTCCCCATTTTTCCCATTTCTCCAGGCTCCCAGCTGCTGTTTTTTCCCATTTTTCCCCGTTTTTCCCCTTTCCCAGGCTCCCAGCTGCCATTTTTCCCGTTTTTCCCATTTTCCCCTGTTTTTTCCCCGTTTTCCAGGCTCGCAGCTGCCATTTTTCCCATTTTCTCCCGTTTTTTCCCATTTTCCAGGCTCGCAGCTGCCATTTTTCCCATTTTCTCTCCGTTTTTCCCCGTTTTCCAGGCTCCCAGCTGCTGTTTTTTCCCATTTTCCCCATTTTCCAGGCTCCCAGCTGCCATTTTTCCCGTTTTTCCCATTTTCCCCTGTTTTTTCCCCGTTTTCCAGGCTCGCAGCTGCCATTTTTCCCATTTTTTCCCCGTTTTTCCCGTTTTCCAGGCTCGCAGCTGCCGTTTTTTCCCATTTTCTCCCCGTTTTTTCCCATTTCCCATTCTCCCAGCTGCCATTTTTCCCATTTTCTCCCCGTTTTTTCCCATTTTCCATTCTCCCAGCTGCCATTTTTCCCATTTCTCCCTGTTTTTCCCCATTTTCCAGGCTCGCAGCTGCCATTTTTCCCATTTCCCCCCTGTTTTTCCCCGTTTTCCAGGCTCCCAGCTGCCATTTTCCCCCTGTTTTTCCCCTTTCCCATTCTCCCAGCTGCCGTTTTTCCCATTTCTCCCTGTTTTTCCCCATTTTCCATTCTCCCAGCTGCCATTTTTCCCATTTTCCCCCGTTTTTTCCCCGTTTTCCAGGCTCGCAGCTGCCATTTTTCCCATTTTCTCCCCGTTTTTTTCCCCGTTTCCCATTCTCCCAGCTGCCATTTTTCCCATTTTCTCCCCGTTTTTCCCCATTTCCCATTCTCCCAGCTGCCGTTTTTCCCATTTTCCCCCGTTTTTCCCCATTTCCCATTCTCCCAGCTGCCATTTTTCCCATTTTTCCCTGTTTTTTCCCATTTTCCATTCTCCCAGCTGCCATTTTTCCCATTTTCCCCCCATTTTTCCCCGTTTTCCAGGCTCGCAGCTGCCATTTTTCCCATTTTTTCCCATTTTTCCCTGTTTTCCATTCTCCCAGCTGCCGTTTTTCCCATTTTCTCCCCGTTTTTTCCCATTTTCCAGGCTCCCAGCTGCCATTTTTCCCATTTTCCCCCGTTTTTCCCCATTTTCCAGGCTCCCAGCTGCCATTTTTCCCCGTTTCCCATTCTCCCAGCTGCCGTTTTTCCCGTTTTTCCCCGTTTTTTCCCATTTTCCATTCTCCCAGCTGCCATTTTTCCCATTTCTCCCTGTTTTTCCCATTTTCCGGGCTCGCAGCTGCCATTTTTCCCATTTCCCCCCTGTTTTTCCCCGTTTTCCATTCTCCCAGCTGCCATTTTTCCCATTTTTCCCTGTTTTTTCCCCATTTTCCAGGCTCGCAGCTGCCATTTTTCCCATTTTCTCCCCGTTTTTCCCCATTTTCCAGGCTCGCAGCTGCCATTTTTCCCATTTTCTCCCCGTTTTTCCCCGTTTTCCAGGCTCGCAGCTGCCCTGCTTCCACGGCTCCTCCACCATCCGGCACCTCAAGGAGCGTTTCCACATGAACCTGACGGAGGAGCAGCTGCAGCTGCTGGTGGAGCAGATGGTGGACGGCTCCATGCGGTCGATCACCACCAAGCTCTACGACGGCTTCCAGTACCTCACCAACGGCATCATGTGAAATTCCGCTCGCCCCAGGCCGGGGGGAAGAAAAACAGCAACAAAAACAACAGCAACAAAAATTCCCCGGAAAAAAAATTCCCGGAAAAAAAAAAAAAAAGGAAGAAAAAAAAAAAAATCATTTTCCTCCTCCCCGCCCAGGAAGGAACGGGAGAATTCCAAACTTCCCGGTTCTGTTCCCGCGGGAAACGCGGCCTCAGAGCCTTGGCTGCTCCCCGGGCCCGGACTCTGCTGAGAGATGGGACAGAATTCCATGGAAAAGCCGGGAAAAACAGCGGGAAAGGCGGGGAACGGAGCGTGGGGAGGCAAACCCCGATGGAAGGGGCTGGGAATGGGGGCAGCTCCCCCTTTTCTCTGCTTGGGATTCCCTGGAATTCGCCCCCAATCCCATGGAATGTGCGGGGTGGGAACGGGGAGGGGTCTCGGGAAGGTTGGGAATCCCAAAATCCCGAAATTCCCAAAATTCCCGGAATTCCCGTGGGGTCCTTCCCTCCTCTGGGACACCCGGGGGGGGCGGTTCCAGATGAGATTCCCGGGTGGAATTCCCAGGTGGGATTCCAGGTGAAATTCCAAGTGGGGAATTCCCGGTGGGATTCCAGGTGAAATTCCAAGTGGGGAATTCCCGGGTGGGATTCCGGGTGAAATTCCAAGTGGGGAATTCCCGGTGGGATTCCGGCTCTTCCGGGAATTCGGGGCTGGGACTCCCCTCCCCCTTTCCCGGGTAATTCCAGCCGGGAATTTGGGGCTGGAATGTCGGACACGAGGGCGGGGGGGGTTGGGGGCCTGGTCCCGATCCCAAATCCCAAATCCCAAATCCCAAATCAGGGAGGATCCGGAGCTTCCCAGGGAAGGAAAAATTCCTTGGAATTTCCCCCCCCCGTTCGCCCAGGCCTGGCCGGGGCTGGGGGCACTTGAGAGTCCCCAATGTCCCCCCCGTGTCCCCCCCGTCCCTGTGTCCCCTCAGGTCCCTCTCCCCCTGTGTCCCCCCCTTTGTGTCCCCCCCTTTGTGTCCCCAATGTCCCCCCCCCCTTTGTGTCCCCAATGTCCCCCCCCCCCCTTTGTGTCCCCCCCTTTGTGTCCCCTCCATGTCCCCTTTTTTTTTTTTTTTTAATTTTTAGTGTTAAAAAACCCCAAAATTTGGTTTTTCAGCCCCAGGGGAGGGGACAGGGGGACGCAGGGAGGGGCCCAGGGGACCCCACCCCTTCCCAAGCCCCTTTTTGGGGGGCAGGACCAAAATTCGGGGATGCAGCCGGAGCCCTCAGCCCCCCCCCCCCTCCCCATTCCCATTCCCGGGCGTTTTCCCGGGAATTCCCGGGAGGAGCCGAGGCCGGGCACAGAGGGTGAAACCACTGGAGTTTAATGGAATCGATTCCTACAGAATAAAGAATTCCTGAGAGCCTCCCGAGCCCGCGGCTTTCCGTCAGCACATTCCCAAAATCCCCGAAATTCCAGGGGAAACAGCCCCAGAATTCCAGGGGGAACAGCCCCAGAATTCCAGGTGTCCAACCCCAAAATTCCAGGGGGAACAGCCCCGAAATTCCAGGGGAAAACGTCCCCAAAATTCCAGGGGAACAGCCCCAGAATTCCAGGTGTCCAACCCTGAAATTCCAGGGGGGAACATCCCCGAAATTCCAGCCCCTCCCTCCCCTCCACCCCAAATCCAGCTCAAGGCACTGAAATGCTGAAAACCGTGGGTCCAAAGCCATTTTTCCATAGGTTTTTGTTGATTTTTTTTTTTTTTTTTTTTTTTGGAATTTTTTTTTCCTTCTAAATCTCGTAGAAACTTTAATTTCTTCTCTATATTTACACCCGGCCTGGGGGATTTTTGGGAATGGCCGATTCCACCTGATTTTTCCCAGTTTTTTTTCCCACCCTTTTTCCATCCATCCACCTGCAGGGAAAAGGGGAGGGAAAACTCCCCTCATTCCTGCTTGGAAAAAGTCGGAAAAACCGGGAATAAAAATTAAAAAAAACAAACAAAAAAAAATCAACTCCAAAGCAGCTTCAGCCATCCCGAAAAACGCAAAAAAAACGGGGAAAAAAACCTTGGAAAACCAATCCAAATCCCAGGAGGAGCACAGCAGTTGTTGGGATTCGGGATTTTAGTGTATGATACAACTTTACAGGGGGGGGGGGGGGTATCCACAGGGAATTCCGGGAATTCTGTGATTCCCGGGAATGCTCAACTGTCCTCGGGGCTGATCCCGGAATTCTGGGAATTCTGCGATTCCCGGGAACGCTCAGCTCCCCTCAGGCCTGATCCTGCAATTCCAGGAATGCTGCAATTCCCGGGAATGCTCAACTGTCCTTGGGGCTGATCCCGGAATTCTGGGAATGCCGCAATCCCCGGGCTCGGAGCTGATTCCCAGAACAATCCCAGGAATTCCAGGATCCCCGGGAAGGCTCAGTTCTGCTTGGATGAAGCCATTCCCAGAATCCCAGGAATCCCTCTCAGTTCTCCTCGTTGCCCTGCCGGGCCCGGATGAGGCCATTCCCAGAATCCCAGGAATCCCAGGAAATCCAGGGAATCTCTCTCAGTTCTCCTCGTTGCCCTGCCGGGCCCGGATGAAGGCCATCCCGTGGGTCCTGAAGTGCGTTTTGAGGTTGAGCGCGCTCTCGAAGCGCCTCCCGCACACTTTGCACTCCAGCTTCCCCTCGGTGCCGCCGGCGCTGGGAGCGGCCCCGGCTCCGCCGCCCGGGGCGGGGCCTCCCGCGGGCTCCTCGGGCTCGGCCCCGCGGCGCTTCTTGTGCGAGATGAAGCGGTGGCGGCCCAGGGCGCTGGCCGAGGTGAAGCAGAGGCCGCACTCGCGGCACTGGGGCGCGCCCTGCTCCGCGCGGTGCTGCGGGAGGTGCGCCTGGAACTCGGCGCGGCTCCCGGCCGCGAAGCCGCACTTGCGGCACCGGAACGGCGCCCGCGGGCTCTTGGCGGGCGGGGTGGTGCTGTCGGGCTCCTCGCTGCACGACTCCTCCGAGGAGAGCTTCCGCCGGCGCCCGGGGGCCTGCGGACGGGACAGCGGCAATGAGCGGGAATAGTGGCAATGGGAGGGAACGGCGGCAATGAACGGGACAGCGGCAATGAGGGGGAACAGCGGCAATGAACGGGAATAGTGGCAATGGGAGGGAACGGCGGCAATGAGAGGGAGCGGCGGCAATGGGCGGGAATAGCGGCAATGGGAGGGAACGGCGGCAATGAGAGGGAATAGCGGCAATGAACGGGAATAGTGGCAATGGGAGGGAGCGGCGGCAATGAGAGGGAGCGGCGGCAATGAACGGAACAGTGGCAATGGGAGGGAATGGCGGCAATGAACGGGAATGGCGGCAATGAACGGGACAGCGGCAATGAACGGGAATAGCAGCAATGGGCGGGAGCAGCCGCAATGAGAGGGAGCAGCGGCAATGGGAGGGAGCAGCGGCAATGAATGGCGGGGCTGGGGCGGGAATCCCGGCCGGGAAAAGCCCTGGGGAGAAACCCCGGGAGAAACCCCGGGAAAACCCCGGGAACTGCGGCAGCTCCCAGAAGGAATCCCGGGATTGGACCCCCCCCCCCCCCAAAATGTGGGTAAATTGAGGGGGGGGGTGGCATAAAAAATGGGACCACCCCCGCCCCCCCCCCCATTCCAATTTGGGGGGGGTTAAAAGTACTGGGGACCCCCCCCCCCCCTTAAATTTTGGGGTCACAGGGACCACCCCAATCCCAGTTTGGGGGGGTTAAAATTCTGGGGACATTGGCTCCAATCAATCCTGCCACAAAAGCTGAAATTCCCGGGAAATTCCCAGATAATTCCAGCTGGGCAGTTCCAGATCCAAAACCTCCCTGCCTGGATGCAGTTTAGGGCTGGGATTTGTGGGTTCCCAGCGAGAATTGCAGGATAAACCCCCCCCCCCTTCCCCAGTCCTGCCCCAAAGCAGCCCCAGAATTCCCAGAATTCCCAGAATTCCCGGAATTCCCGGGAAGTCGCACCTGGGCGGGGCCGGGGGGCCCGCGGGCCATCACCACCTCCTGGCTGCGGGCGGCGTCGGTGACTTTGATGCCGTGGCGCACCTGGATGTGCTTCTCCAGGATCAGGCGGCTGCTGAACGTTCTCTTCCCCTCCGTGCAGTACCTGCCAACGCAGCAGCTCCGTTTTCCCGGGAATTCTGCCGCCGGAATTCCCAAATTCCAGCCCCGAACGGGACCGATACAAAGCCTGGAGTCCCCTCCCAAATCCTTCTCACTCCCGGAGTTTCAATTTCCATCTTGGGCAGGGCTGGTGGGAATGAGCCCTCATTCCCTGGGAATTAAACCCTGATTTTCCTGGGAATTAAACCCTGATCTCGCTGGGAATTAATCCCTGAGTCCTTGGGAATTAATCTCTGATTCCTTGGGAATTAAACCCTGATTCCCTGGGAATTAAACCCTGATTTTCCTGGGAATCAATGCCTGATTCCTTGGGAATTAAACCCTGATTTTCCTGGGAATTAATCCCCGAGTCCTTGGGAATTAATCTCTGATTCCTTGGGAAATAAACCCTGATTTTCCTGGGAATTAAACCCCGATTTTCCTGGGAATTAATCCCCGATTCCTTGGGAATCAAACCCCAGTTTCCCTGGGAATTAATCCCTGATTCCTTGGGAATTAAACCCTGATTTTTCTGGGAATTAAACCCTGATTTTCCTGGGAATTAAACCCTGATTCCCTGGGAATTAAACCCAGATTTTTCTGGGAATTAAACCCCGATTTCCCTGGGAATTGAACCCCAATTCCTTGAGAGTTCCCCTTTTCCCTGCCCAACCCCAACCCCAAACCCCCTCAATCCTCCCCGCTCCCTCCAGCTCCCGGCCATCCCAGCCCCATTCCCAGCCCCAGCATTCCCGCTCTCCCAGAACCCCGGGAATCCCAGGAATCGCTCAGGAACCCCTCGGGAACCCTGGGAACCCCTCGGGAACCCCAGAGCCCCCGAGCCCCATTGGTACTGGCAGGGGTAACCCCAGAACCCCCAGAACCCCAGGAATCCCCGTTGTTACCGGCAGGGGTAACCCCAGAACCCCAGGAATCCCTGAACCCCGTTGT